ATATTCTGTCGCCTACTATCCAATCTCCTAAGTCGCGGACTACGAACGCGGCTTTACGCTTCTGAAAGTAGCACTCCACATTCCACAAGAACGCTCTTGAGGTATGGTTGCGGCCCATTCGGTCCCAGCCACATTTTTAGCTTGAACCCTGTGCGACCTGGCGCGGAACTGGTGACGTTGTTACTCTGGGCTGGTGGGCAGCAACCGGCTTTTACTTATGCTGGCAACAATAAAATGGGGATGTACTCCATAATGATCATTGTGCGTTTCGGGGGGCATTAAACTGGATACCCACTTATAAAACTTGACAGTCTTCGAGGGAGCGGAGGGGATCTGAGGGAGGACGTGAGCAACTTTGGCTCCTCCTGGCGTTTTCCCCCTCTCCTGAGCTTTGTCCTAGTGTCACCAACCAGCGGTTTCCGCATGCATTGTTTTGAATTTCTCCTTGGAACATAGCGCAGAGAGAACGTCCGACGTCACGACTGTAGGCGCCCATGTGGGTAAGCGCTATCCCGACTGCTTTGATGTTAGTACTGCTGCCTCATTTTCTTATCGTATACGAGACTAATTTCGCTTGGAACTTTGTCAAGCTATCATCGTACCTCTCTTAAAGCGTGAAGACCTAAGATTGCATGGCTACGGAAGATCAGTCTGCAAACCTACTCCTATTGACAGGCGATGAAGCTGATGAAACAGCAGGCTAGACGATCCGTGCAAGGAAACAGCAGAGGATCAAAATGAGCTCTCATATCCGGTGATCGCTTATATAGTGCTGCATGGTGGATTAAGATATGGAAGTATAAGATAAGAGCAAGGAACGTTCATTTTATGAGTTTCGCCACTGCCCATAGTGAGAGTAATGGATTCAGAGAGAAATGTCCATGTCAGCTAGGCCTCCCCAAGGGTAACGTTGTATACGCAATCTCATCTTCGGCTGCTCAGGCAAATACTTTCTCTATCACGACTTGTGGTTCAGTAAAGGTACACCCTATGAATTAGATCACAAAAGCGAGGCTTAGTCCGAAAGAGGTTCAGCTGTTTTTAGGCACAGAGAACATACCGTCTTCTTTGCACAAAACTGACTAGCTGAGGCCCCAATGATTGAGGATGGTCCATCACCTCCACCCAGCACAATGGGCCCCGCATCCGGATTGACGTCGTGAGCCGTCTCTAACTTTTTTTTCAACAATCCATGCTCCACCGTCTCTCATTTTTCACTCTTCCTTGGACCCCAAATATCTCTAATTTCGTTGTCTGCCTCATTGAATCCTTCACAGCCTCACGGTTAGAGAAGAGGGCTCTCATTTCGAATGCTTTCAGTGGAGCTTCTGCTCATTATCCTTCACCACTTCACACCTCTATTTCCTTTAGAATTGGTCTGTCCCTAAGTCTCATGTTGATCTAAATCCTACTATATATAAGCGGCTAAGTGTGTCTGTTGTGTGTGTGTGTGTGTGTGTGTGTTTGAACCGGAAATTCATAGCTCGAGTCACAGCAACGATAGCGCCATGGTTCTTACATATGTTATAGGGGGTGGGATGGGGACACAAGTGGTATGTGATAGGAACTGATAACGACTGATAATAGGCTGATAAGAGGGGCTAGAAAGCAAAAGTCGTCGATTCCGTTACCTGGCTCGCATTGACACCAGAGCAACCATACTTACAAGTGTTATGTGGGGTGGGACGGGACATTGTTGCTGGGTGATTGGAAGTGATAACAGCAGATAAAAGCTCAACCTCTCCTTCTTCGTCAACCATTCTCCGCTTTTTCCCTGTTTCCGGGTTGCCTCTAGACCTGCTTATGAATCTCGTGGTGAACTCCATCACCCTTTTCTTCCTCAACAATCTCTCCCACGTTTTCCCCGGTCTCTGCACTGTCTATGAGCTATTTATATGCTTCGTAGCCAATCTCTTCCACTTTGGTGCACGGTCCACCCACCAATGGAAGTTCACTTCCTTCCCTTCGCCGGCCTCTATTTACTTCTTCTCGTTTCCTGAAGCCACTTGAAACCGAGTTATATGTCTGACAACAAACTCTGCCCACTTTGGTGAATGCCACCAACCAATGGGAATTGAGTTCTGTTCTATCGCCGCCCTCTCCGCTTTTCCGGTTTCCGGGACCACCTTGATCCGAGTTGTAAGTCTGGAAAAAAAAAATCCGCCCACTTTGGGCGTACCACGTCTGCCAAGGGTGGTCGAACTCCTTCCCTTCGCCAATTCTGTCCGCTTTTTTCCCAATTCCCACGGCTTTGCAGAATTTCTTGGGCGAAATCCGCCCATTTTGGTGCATGCTCCGCCCACCAATAGCAGATGATCTCTTTTCCATTACCGACCTCTACCCCTTTTTTCCCAGCCTCTGGGACATCATAGAACCGAATCATAAGTCCGTGGCAAACACCTCCCACAGTACTGCAACGCCCTCCCCCCAAACCAGTGGCATTTGACTTCACTTTCGCTATCAGACTCAATCTTTTTTACAGGTTTCCAGGACTTCTTGGCACCGAGTTATAATGTTCCGCGGATAACTCCGCCCATATAGGTGCACGCCCCACCTACCAATAACACTTGGGCCTTTTTCCTCCCCTGACCTCCACCCACTTTGCTTCCGGTCTCGCGACTTCTTGAAAACGAAGTTTTGTGGCGAACTCCGCCCTTTTGGGCGTGCTCACCCACCAATTGCAGTTGCCCTCCTTTCCTTGGCTCACATCCCCTTTTTCCCGGTCTCTGGGACTTCTGAGTTATAGGTCTTGTTACAAACGCCGCCCACCTCTGTGCGCGACACCCCAGTGCTAAGATCTGGGCACTCTATCCACCCTTTTTCCACCTCTCCAAGACTTCTCGGAACCGAGTTGTGTAGGACATGTAGGGCTATCCACTTCAGGACACGTTCCGTCCCTTGTGAGCAGGCCTCTGCTCACGTCATGCATGCTGGAAATACTTTAGACATTGCTCCCCTTCACCATTTTTTTGCTGCTCTGTGAGGTTTCTCCTAATCGAGTTATGATCGTTGTTTTTTTCTACTGCTCCATCTTCAGCACAGAAGGATAGTAAAGCATACCCGTTCCACGAATCTTCGGTTATAGTTTTTTGGGATACTTCTTGTGCAATTCAAATTTGTTCCACGATTTCGCTCAAAAATGCATGAGTTGACAGCGAGGCAAAGAGAAAAGCTGTTATCTCTCCATTTCCCTCTAACTCTTTGCATTTCAGCCTTGTCGTTTCGGACATACACGTAGCTCTGCCACTTTTCGAAGTACCTTTGAGGCTGATTGACAGAAACCAAATTAATCTTCTAACCCGTTTTACAGGCGCAGCTTGAGAGGTTTTCTCACGCGAACTCGGCAAATGATGGGTGAAAGTGCACACACTCAAAAGCATCAATCGCCCTTTTTTTGCAGGAGTGTAAGGTAAAACTCCTTCATTTGCTTATAAATTTCGTACGTAAATGCGAATATCTGCTTGTTCTTACTGATGAAGTTCTTCCTAAGCATAACAACTTTTGCAAACTTCTCTTTGTCGAATGAAATCAAAAGCATAAAGAAAAGTTAAGCATTGGGGGTTAGTTAACCGCTACTCGAGATGCGCCGCGCATTCTACTTCTAGACTAAACAGAAGGGCTTGTCTGCCCAAGGTTCTTTTTCAACAGCGTTATGCAGAACATCGAGGTTGAGAATGATGGGTTGGGGTGTAGACCATTTTCAGATAAAATGCTAACTCCCGACTAGGGTGAATCACAGGTGCACTGTGTACTGATAGAGCGTATCACGAACGTGATTGAAGTGATCGAATTGGTGTCGTGATTGTGCTATTGT